CTCAAAATTTGGACTATATATGCTGGTCAAAATAACCAGTTCACACCATCGTTAGCAACATGTTCAGATATAGTTTGGTTGGAGTCTATAACAGAAACGATCCCAATTCAATAAGTTTTGAATTTGCACCAACCATGGTTGTCCCGTTATCTGAATGAATTGGTCGTGGGTTACCTCTTCTATAGATATAAATCGTCTGAACATAGCCAAAAACGTTTCAGATGACATTTGGGTTACGGGTTCTAAATGAATGGCTTTTGTAACGAAACATATGAATAAACTAACCCAACATTTGATTGATGCTTGAACCTCTTCCATGTTTTTGTGTTTGTGTTTTTTGATATTGAAGGGTCCGGCGTAATCCACACTGGTGAAATTAAACGGGTTGGGTTGAGATGGATTGTAGCGGAAACGTCTCACACATGAGCGTACTATTTTCCTTGCTGAGCATCTTCCACCCAGTGACCAGTAATATTCTCGAATTGAAGAAAGAAGTAGTTGAGGTCCTGCATGAAGAAGTCTCAAATATTCATAAGAAAACAACAGTTCGGCGAAATGATGTTTAGCCGACAATAAAATTGAGTGTCTTTTTTCATAGGGATATTTAGACATTTGCAGTCCCCCTCCTACTCTCAGAATACGATCATGATCTGAAAATGGACTTGAACTTGCAATGGTTCCTTCTCGGGATACTTTCAACTGAGTGTGCTTACAATTTTTCAAATGAATTATGATATCTGAAAAATGCTGTTCTTGAACGTTTGATACTGGAGAGAAAATAGCAAGATCACATTCATTCACTGTTAAAATTCCACTCTCTCGCTTTTCAGGGAAACAACAGTTGTAGATGAATCGTGAAATATTTGCTGTTACACGTTTCAATTTGCGGAAATTAGAAAATTTATCAATTGGGAATATTTTATTTTCTGATGTGTTAGTCATACACACATTACCAAGTTTCTCAAGTTCTGGTATATCTGGATCTTGTGGGCATGAATTGGGCCACATATCACTCTTTTGAAAGCCAGTTTGGACCAACCCACCACAGTGAGCATTCATCTAGTAACTCTGGTTGAATACCTCTAGACAAAATATCTGCGGGATTATCTTCCGATGTCGCCAACAATCTGACTTTGTGAGGCTTTGAATTTGTGTAACCCTATTTGCATCAAATTGTTGTAGATGAAACCGAGGATAAAACGGTTCTTTGTTCATCCAATGTAAAACTACTGCAGAATCTGTCCAGGAAAATACCGAATCAAAATGATAATTCATAGAATTGAAGACCCTTGAATAAGGTTTGGATGAAATTAAGGCAGCACAAAGTTCCAAACGGGGAATAGTCAAGTGTTTTATGGGAGCTACCTTCGATTTAGCACAGAATAAGGAAATCTGAATTTGTTCTGAAGATGTGATACTTCTGACATAAATGCAAGCACCGCATAAGCAACAGAAGATGCAATCCATGAAGTATACCACGTGACTAGCATTTTCATGAATAACATGTCTTGACATTTGTAGATCATTTAATGATTCTGGTTCATTTTTGAGATATCTCCATTTTGCATCCAGAGATAATGGAATACTTTCATCCCAAGCAATTTTATGTAATCATAGTTCTTGTAATGAGATTTTTGTTAAAATAATACAGGGACTCACTAATCCTAAAGGATCAAAAATCCGAGATATTTCTGAAAAAATAGTTCTTTCTGTTTCTATTTTGAAATCAGTGGAAACATCAATATTATATTTCAAAATATCATATTGACTGTGCCAATGAAGACCGCGTGTTTTTGACGTTTCCTTTTCGCCTAATTCAAGGACGTGAAATGGAGATTCACTCATTTCTAATTCATGCAAAACTTTTTGTTTATTCAAAGACCACTTTCGGAGAACTAGTGATGCACCTTTTAAAATGACATATATTCCGTTAGCCAGTTGAACTGCTTGACTTGTAGTTTCTGCACCAGATAGCAAATCATCCATATAATAATCCTTCAGGACAACATTTGATTTTTGAAAGATTGGCACTATGGTCTATTGCTAATTCTTTCAAGCATCTCACTGCAAGAAATAGAGCAGCTGTTGTTCCGTATGTAACGGTATTTGATTTATATGTCTCAATTTGCACATTTGATCTCCAAACAATTTGTTGCAAAGATCTTTGACTAGGATGAATCAATATCCAACGATACATTTTTTCCACGTCGGAACAAATTACTACATTATGTTTCCAGAATCTCAAGATGATTGAGAACAGATCATCCTGTATGGTGGGACCTATCAGTTGAAGATCATTTAATGACCATCCAGAAGTTGTTGGTCCATGTAGACAAGGCAAAATTCATTCAGTCTATACTTCACCAAAACTATACTTCATAATGAAAATAATAGTTTTGGCGGAGTATATATAGGGGAGAACTACCTATGATGGCATCCCTAACGAATAATCCCATTATCAAAGTAACAAATCAATATTCGAGTGAATTTTTCTCATCAGTCTGCAGTTTTCCATCACTATATAATTAAACAGCATTGCGAAGGAGTGAGTTTTCAAAAGATGTTCTCTGAAAAACGAAAAGATATTTCTTGCCATTATACACTCTAAGAAAAACTGGAACACCAGTTGACACCAGCTAACACCGAATGATTTCCTTAGAGGTCCTGCATATTTCAGTGTTAATTCACACCTATTTGTAGAGCACCGGTGTTTGGTGCTATCTCTGCACATTTTCAGGTGAGATTTGTGATTTCGAAATCGATGTAAAGTAATACCAGTCTGGTGTGTTATGTGCAATGTTTTCTGATAGAGTTCGCACTGGTCTGGTGGTGAATCACAATACTATTGATCATGAAAAACATCAGTATATTTAAAGTCACACCGGAATGAGTTTACAAAATCATCATCAAATGATCAAATCTACAATGAACGGTGTTTATTTACACCAGATCATTGAATTCTTAACCGGAATTGTGTCAATTCTAATTGAGGACAGTTCTTCATCTGACACGAATCTTCAGAATTCTGACACATTTAGGTATGAAACAAAATTGCTTCAATCAATTTGTAATTCATTATAGTGTGAAATATTTTTGTTGAGATATAGGTACAGGGTATCTCAAAATTGCTGGGACACAGAGCTACCACAGGTAATACGGGTCAAAATAAGTTGATTGGACCCAACTTCTTTTTATTGATAAATATACCGTTTGTCCGTGAGACGAGTTCAGAGTTTTCATAAATAAACATATTTTCAAAAGATCTACAATATCTTTCGGGATTCTTCCATTACTGAAAGAAGAGTTATACTCTAAAATTTGTTTCACTCATTTTTGGACAGCGATCAGCGAACGAAAATGTGTTTATTTATGAAAACTTTAAACTCACCTCACGGACAAACGGTACATTCTTTTATGTAAACAAGTTAGGTCCAATCAAGTCATTTTGACCTGTATTACCTGTGGTAGCTCTGTGTCCCATCGATTTTGGTGTTGTGTCGAAACATCGAGACAATTGTTTCTGATTTTGACTCCTCAATAAACTTTTCTGAGCATTTGAATTTTAATTTTATACACTTCATGATAGAAACAATCATGCACTTTACACTGGAAGAGCAACATGACCCGTGCTTATTGAAAGCACAGTGAAGAGAGACAGTGCTGAATATTGCTCAACGTTTACTACGAATGGCTGTGGAACTCTGGAGTCTGGAGTGTGGAAGTGATAGGAGCACGTACACATGCAAAGAAGATGCGCAAGGTTGCCAAGCATCACGATATGAAATAACTAAGTATATGTACCTATAGTTTCATGATAATTTAATGAACATAGGCAGTAGGTACTTAAATGAAATTGTCCTCATAAGTTCTTGGAAATACTTCCGTTGGCAAAGAATACCGAAGCTTCGTCGTTCCATAGACAAACGTGTTTTGGAAAGGAGTTGCTTGACATAATTCTAGATTGACGACAAAACGATGATGTGCTGACTCAGCCTGTCGAGTACGTATGACGAATGGTGGACCAAAATGCATGTAAGCTCTGCAGTAATGATACAGAATGTTGCAGTCGTTAATTAGAGAGCATCATATTGATATTAAATTCATCAACTTCTAATCATTATCTTACACCACGATGTTCAAAGTGTATATAAAATAGACGAGGTGGCAACAGTGTATGGCGACAAATTCGTTCCGATGTTTTTCTGATATTAGTGGTGTTGATTTACATCTATTCCAGTGTCATTTATTCCAGTGATATCAGAAAATACACTGGTTTGGTTATCAATCTCATTACTAGGTGAATATCTTGAAGAGGAATTATTATTGTGTGAATATGGATACTTCATAAAATTGATAGTCACATGAAAAATATGATAGTTGATCACTTTCATGATATAAATATTGAAAAATTACACCTACTAATGATAATTTTTCAGAATATATCAACTTTGTGATTCATGAATAGAATAATTTGATGTTTACAGTTTGAATTCAAATAATGAGTATGAAAAGTATGATTCCGAATTCAGATTTGCCATAATGTATCACGATTTACACCGTCGAACCCCACGATATCAAATTCCCAATACTTATGATAGGATAGTACAATTTTGGTGTTGAATAGGGTTAGTGTTAATTCTAACAGTCTGGAATTGAAAAAGACACCAACAGTTTTCTTAGAGTGTAGGCACTTGATATGATGATATCATTTGATGGCATACTTGATTTCCTATGATGGCATACTCAATTTTCCATGATGGAATACTCAAATTTCTTCAAAGCATAATTATTTCTGATTTTCCGCCATTACTCTCAAAAAAAAGATAGTTGAACAACACAGGACCATCTAGCCGTATGATGGCATACTATGCCACCAAAGGTCAATGTTAGGTATATGCCAACATGCGGAAACTGCATAATTTTACAATATTTCAGGTATACTTTCTTTCGAGCTTTCTTTCTTTTTGGAATAAAAAGCAGAATGTACGGTTGATATGATTTCACAAAAAATGCCACCAACCTGCTAATCTGTCTTTGACCACCTGGGTAGCAAACGCAGCTGCCGCCGCCGACCTCTGCAGCACTGGATCCAGTCCCAGCGCCCAAGGATTGAACATGGGAGGCGGCGGGGGGCTCCCGGGGCCCCCCAGCGGCCTATGCGCAGGCACCCTTAGCACCCCCTGGCCGTAGAACCCCGCGGGTACCAGCCCCAGGGGGCTCCGGTGCTGGAAAAGCCCCGCCGTGCTCTGGTACAACGCAGCAGCATCGTCATCAGCCTTTTGGTGCTCGAAATTCTTGCCCAGCAAATTGGAGATGCTGAAGGGTAGGTGGTTAGACGGGGTGGTCACATTTTCCGGGCTGCTGCAATGGCTTCGCAGGCTCCTAGCCTCGCTGTCACTGTTAGAAAGTCTAGAGTCGGTGTCCAGCACGTTGATCTCATGATCTTCTGACTCGTGGTCTGACATGGTAACTAGATTACTCGCGCGCAGTCAAAACATTGTTAGCTCAAAGCTCCCGAAAGCATACCGATTAAGTGATCGCAGTTCACGTGTTTAACAATCGACTGTTTGTTTGCGTGGAGCGTGACACACAGGCGAGTCTCGTGAGTGTCAGCTGCACACTATAGCTGCCAGCCGAGCGGTTGCCATGGCATCAAGAACCCCGTTAACTTGCGCCCAATCATTGGCCAGATTGCGAGTGTGGAGACCCCGCCTAGTGCTCTCCCCATTGGGTTAAACTGATTCGAAGTAAATTGAATATCTTTCTGTTAATTCTTTTTTTGGGAGATCAAGTGAGCCTTCCCCGTATAAGAACGGTCGGTTGGGTTCGTTTTGCCATGGAGTATGGAATTATAGTCGATCGTTTTGTATGTGCGTTTACTAGATGATTGGGTGGTTGTTGATTGATGTGAATGATATTTTAAGTTTCAGGTTTCAACTTTAGTTGTTACGTTTCATAAGTTTCTGTGATTTAATTCTTTCTTGAATTTCTGAGTAAGGTGGTACAGCATCAGAAAATCAACAGCAATTGAGATCGTCTCCGTTCGATATCTTTGTTTTGGCATAATTTATTCTATTGTTTATATAGAATGTCCTTCAGCGTTATTTGAACAGATTGGAAAAAAAAGCAGAACCATTTCAGGGAAATACCTATACAGAAGCAGCAACAGCATCAGCAGCAGAAACAGCAGCAATAATAACAGCAGCAGCAGCAAATGCAATAGCAGTAACAACAACAACAACAATAGTATCAGCAGAAGCAGCAGCAATATATGAGCAATAGCAACATCAGCAACGACAACATCAATAGAAGCAATAGCAAGTGCGGTAGAAGCCAACAACAGCAATAATATAGATAGTTAAAAAAAAATGTTTTCTTATCCATTATTCCGTTGCCCCTTTATATACGGGCAACCCTCAGAAGTCTTCAAGAGAGTTGTGCGAGCAAGGAATGACGGGGTCTTACCTTTTGACGTGTGATCCCAAACACTTTCTTAGGCAATTAGAAAAAATGTCTGTGGTCGTGGTGGGAATCGAACCCACCTACCGGCAATCCAACGTGGATAGAACATTGACACTTTATAACCATGAGGATACGCTGGCCACAATAATAGTAGTATATAAGATCCTACATATAACAGTTGCAGCTGGAACAAAAACAACAACAGCCACAACAAAAACAATATCTAATTAACATCATTAGTGTTCGATTATAACATAGGTATGCCGCGTTTGGGGTACCAAAACGAACACAAAGTTCACATCTCAGTTTTGCATTGTATGCTCTTTTGAAGCATCTATTGTTTGGCTGCAAAGATAAGAGGAATTACCTCTAGGTCTAACCAAATATTTGTTTGATTTTTCTGAAGAACTTTCTTGACTTATTCATATACTTAAGTAAATCTTTTTATTTTCAATCAAGAAATTTCGAGCTTGTTACACATAGATAATATCTCATTATAATAAGTGAATATATTTTGTGAAGGTCCTTATTTTCTTGGGCCAAGAGATTATCATATTGAAGGAAATCAAAATATAACTTACTACTTATCAGTCACAGGGGCTATGCGTACGTGCCCTACTGCAGCAATGGAAGCTATGCTTGACCCACTACCCTTGCATATTTTTATCAAGAGGACTGCAGCTCTCAGTGCATACAGACTGAACTCCACTGAATTGGCCAGACCCAGGTGATGTCACTGGTCACATGGTCATTCTACAAGAAGTACAAATGGAATCTGCAACCAAACCATCGGACATAATGCCAGCCAGGCTCAGTTTCGATCATACCTTTGAAGTGGTTATAAAAAGCCGCCCTAGGTACGGTTCCGCTGAGCCTCAGCTGGACAGAGGGTCCCTTGTTTGGTACACCGATGGTTCACTATCTTCCAAGCTGAAATACATGCCATCAACCTTTGCGTCCAAAAGTGCCTGAGCAAAGGTCTGAGGGGTGCCAACATATACCGGGTGGCTACGGAAGTATTGCCTACGGAATATCTCAGTTATTGTATGAAGTAGGTTTGTGAAATTTGGAGCGTCGATATAATGACATAAGAGCTAGAATTTGAGCATATTGACATGTCGAAGTTAACTTCCGGTCTGACCGGAAGTAACATCAACTTTCTTATTTTAAATGGAAACCCTATTTTTTTTTCTTTTCCCTTTATTCAGCATTCAATTTCCTTTATAATGACATATCACAAGTTGGTATCTAACCAGAAACTAGATCAGGAAAAATTATTATTGAAATTCACCGAGTAGGCCGTGGAAGCAAAATGAAAGCCAAAAATTGAAAAGTTGGCTATGGAAACCATACGTGACTTGATAACAGTTGCTACTACTGTGATATTTTATTTTCATTCGTCGGCGTTATAAAAAGCCGTCAAAAAAAATATTGGAAAAAATGGGAAAAAAACAATACTCTGTAGGTCCATAACTTAAATAGGAACATACAACTTTTTCTTGCCTGTACTATTCAGCATAACCATTCCTTTCTAATGATATAATAGAAAGTCATTTTTTGGCTTTTATTTTGCTTCCACGGCCTACTAAGTGAATTTCAATAATAATTTTTTTCTGATCTAGTTTCTGGTTAGATACCAACTTGTGATATGTCATCAGAAAGGGAATTGAATGCTGAATAATGCTAAAAGAAAAAAAAAATAGGGTTTCCATTTAAAATAAGAAAGTTGATGTTACTTCCGGTCAGACCGGAAGTTAACTTCTACATGTCAATATGCTCAAATACTAGCTCTCATGTCATTATATCGACGCTCCAAATTTCACAAACCTACTTCATACAATAACTGAGATATTCCGTAGGCAATACTTCCGTAGCCACCCGGTATATCTGCTCAGACAGCCAAGCCGCACTAAAAGCCCTAAAGTCATTCGTTTTCACATCAAAGATTACATGGGACTGCTTTGAAACACTCATGCAAATATGGGAAAGGGCAACAAAGTCACACTTATGTGGGTTCCAGGGCATGAAGGAATCAAAGGAAATGAGGCAGCTGATCGCCTTGCAAAAAAAGGTGCAGCATCTGCACTTTTTGGTCCTGAACCTTTTTGTGGGATAAGCAAATGTCACCTGAAGGGAGAACTCGGGAAATGGGAAGAAATTGAAAAGTCCTCCTACTGATGGAGAGCAACTCCAGGTCAACGACAAGCGAAAAGGTTCATCAACCATTCGCAGAACCGAGCCAAAGAGCTACTCAGCCTCAGCAAACTAGAGCTAAAGCTTATCACAGGCTTTCTCACAGGACACGGCCCTCTGAGGTACCACCTCAAAAAGATGGGTCTGGCGGAGACTGACACTTGCCGCTTTCGTAACAATGCGACCGAAACCGCGGAACACATACTTTGCTCATGTGAAGTGTATTAGTCCGCCGAAGGCTGAACCACCTAGAACAGGTCTATCTCACCCCTGCTGAAGTGGAAAAGTCAGCCGTCAGGAAAATCGTAGGCTTTATCACAATAGATCTTCTAGGTCGCAGTGATCGAGAGGACTCCTGTGCCTATACAACCCATCTACAATCTACGATCTACTACTTATCAGAGTATTGAGTATTACATAAAATAAATTCGTAAAGTTGGTATATATGAACAAAAGGTAGGAATATTCATTTTTCTAGAATTTTGTGATTTGCTGTCCTCGTCTTCTTCTCTGTGCCTGAAATGGCTTGAATGTTGATTCACGAAAACATAGAGAAATGGGTGAAATCATCATTTGAAAAATGTTCTGCGTGTTTCGCAGAGTGACTTGTTAACCGTATAGGTACCTATAGAACTTATTGCTTCAGGGTAAACAACATTTCCATTCGACACAACCATATGAGTACATTGTCGGAAACAAACGAAATTTCAAGACAACCAGATCTTTTCGGGTTACAAGACTTACAAGAGATTATGTGTTTGACAAAAGGGCATGTATACAAGTTGTTATATGGATGTAAAAACACGAAGGAAGGAGACAAATTATTATTGGTTCAATCATTCTTATATGAGGAATCGAGAAAACAATATACGAAGAATGGACAAATACACGGTAACAAGTCCTATTGAGTGGAGCTTTCCATCAAAATATAAATGCACAATTAGTGATCAAGAACTCAAATTTTGATCAATGGACAATGGTCAAAATTGTGTAAATGATTTCTCGAACATTTTTCATACTTCTGAGCTATTTTGTGTCAGTATAATCATCCATCAAAGGGTAAACTCGGGTAAAGCAATTCAATGATTACACAATCCGGCGTGATGGACCTGGATTGACACATAGTTGGGTGGACCTGGAGTTAAAATAGACTCAAAAATTGTTTTCGTGTTCTTATATATACCTATACCTATTAGGGCGTTCATCGAATGAATGCGACTGATGGTCAAATCATCACTGCTAAACGAATGTGTTCTGCAAGTGATACAAACATGGCCATATATGCGCGTTGACAGTGATGTGTATAGTTATAGATTGAGGTATGATTGATATCAAGGCACAGCTTACCTTATGAGGGAAACACCTCAGTAGGTACAACTATGTTATGAAATATATAATGTTCTTATACCCCCGCAGATTGTCCCCAATTATGGAATGCCCGAATTGCTGTGAAGAATACCATGCACACCATTCGCCAGACCACTATATCATCCATGACGCATCACACCTGATTCTTGAACATTTCACCATTGAAAAACAAAAATGCTTTTCACCGTCTTCAGAAGAAACAACAACAACGGATGGGCAAAGGCGTTCAGTGTTCAGTGTCCGCTGTATATACACCACTGTTAGTTTTTTAGACAAGCAGAGATTTTCTTGAACCAATATTAATTGGAATTGATGTCACCTGTAGTCGCGCAGTGTTCTTGAATAAGGAAATATACTGTTTGTGTTGAGCAAATTCATATCAAGAGATTTCACGAAACGAAGCCGGCAAACCGATTGATTTGAGACAAGTGAATATTGCTCC